GCATGGGAGGAATGGTTAGTATGTGATCTCACCCCTATATATATATATATATATATATAGGGGTGAGATCTCATACTAACTAGTTCTCCCATGCTAACTCGTGAAAACTCCGACAACCGGTGGTATTTTTGGCTCAAAGTTTTTGTGTATGTTCCTCATCAAGTCTAGTTCATCTATACCAAATTTGAGCAAAAAATTCAATCGGGAAGGTCATCAAATGATTTTTGAAAGAAAACTGGTCCGGAAAATACATATAAAATGCAGTTTTCTTTCAAAAATCATTTGATGACCTTCCCGATTGAATTTTTTGCTCAAATTTGGTATATATGAACTAGACTCGATGAGGAACATACACAAAAACTTTGAGCCAAAAATACCACCGGTTGTCGGAGTTTTCACGAGTTTGCATTTTAAGCATGGTTTGCATTTGATCTCTTACCTATATATATATATATATATATATATATATATATATATATATATATATATATATATATATATATATATATATATATATATATATATATATATATATTAATAGATAGTTACGGTCAAACGTCCGCCTAGGAGACCGCAAAAGTCAAACTATAACTTTAATTGTGGGACGTGGGGAGTAAATTTTAGATAAATTATACTAGTACGTATTTAAATAATTAAATCATACTTCGATTTAGTTCCAAACTTCTAGTGAACTAGCAAAGACTTTGAAAGTGCGAAGACACTAATCAAAGTTAGGGGTGGGCAAGAATCCCGATCCCGTTGTCCCATTCCGGTATATCCCGAAATCGTACCGGTGTTGTCCCGTTCTGTTTGGGATCCGGTTATTTTGTCCCGCACCGGTCCGTTACCGGTTTGAAACGGGACATGATCGGAACACCGGAAGGTTATCCCGAACCGTCCCGTTGTCCTGTTTGTAATAACGATATAGTTTTTAGCATGTGACTAGTTTATAGTGCTATCTCAAAAAAATAAAAAATACTATGTTTTTAGTTTTTCAAGCCCAATTTTTTAAATTAAAAATAATATCTAACATAAATATTTAGTAGCTTAGGTTTGTATCTCACTCTCTCTACTAACTTAGACACATAATTTTGAATAATTCTTTTTCTGCTTTGTTTTAAATTTTAATTTATTCCTTTGCTAAACTTAATTAAAATCTAATACTCCGTAGCTTTTTGTTTTTTATGTGATAGATAACTTGTTATGAACATTAGTTAACTTTTAAAATGTTAATAATTTGTTGCATGATACTTTAGAAATGCTAATATACTTTAATTATAAATAATGATTTTTTGTTCAATACTCTTTTGTTAGTTTGGGACGTCCCGAACCGTTCCGAATTATTCCGGTCCCGATTTAAATGGGACAAGACTAGGACAAAGGCGTGTCCCGTCTCGTACCATTATTACTAATTGGGTCGGGACCGGGACAATTATTGGTGCTTTCGTTGACAGTCATCTCTCAAATATTTGGTAGAAACTGTAAGAGACACAAGCAAAAAAAAAGGGAAAAAATAATGAAAAATCCTAGTGAAGGAAAAAGAGTACACCAGGGCCTTAAAATAAATCAAAGGAAGGTCAATCCCCTTGGTTCTTGATTGAGTGTCTGCTTTGATGTTAAGCCGAGGTATGCTATGGAAGGCCGCTCGTAGCTTTCTGCCAAGGATGGCGATCTGATGTGTGCTCGGGAGAGGCCTGTCACACAGTTGTTTGCCGATGATGGCGAGCCGGGTATGCTCTGGAGAGGCTGGTTGCACCCCTGTCCCCCTTAATTCCCACCGTTTGAGGAAAGATAGGGCTTCCTTCGTCTGGGTAGCAGCCCGAGGTCTTGTTTATCCAATTAGCAGCCGAGGTTTGTTTTTCACGATTAGCAGCCCAGGGTCTTGTTTTTCAAATTAGCAGCTCAGGATCTTTCTGGTTCCGATGGAGAGATCTCTTCGCTGCTACTGCGTGCAGCTGCAACGGTCTCCCCCTGCTGATGCGATGGCCAAGATCGGCCTTCACGTCTCAACAATGTTTGTCTGACGTGGCCAGGAGAATGTTGGTGAGTAACCCACCATGATATGAAGTCACTACACTGCAGAATGCTAAGTCTCGACCTTCAACGTCTGTTGCAGGTCCATCTCATGCAGGGGAGAAGCCCAGAGCTTCTCCGTCTGATGCTGCGAAAAAGGGAGCAACCTCCTTGCTTTGCGAAGAGTATCATGCATAGAAGAGCAGAGGTATAAACTGCTCCTCAGGTCGGGTAAAGAGAGATAACCCAACTGGTAGAATCCTCGCTAACTCTGTTCATTTCCTCGTAGGTATGGCGGGTCGGAGAAGCGCACTTGCTGCCCTACCGCAACCTTCGTTTCCTCGTAGGTATGGTAGGTCGGAGAAGCGCATTTGCTGCCCTACCCTTACCTTCGACATCTGACTCTGATCTATCTGTTACTAGAGAAAAATGCAAAGAACAATTCATCAAGTAGAGTAAGGGAGTGGTTGAGAATGGGCTTGCAGTGAAGAAATATTCACCACCCATGAGGATGGCGGGCGAGCCCGATTATAGGACCAGGACGACAATGTTAAGTCCGATCGTGATGAATCCGAAGCAGCGGTCATCATCCAAATGAAGGAGGATGTTACCGGTCTTGGAATGAGAATGATGGCTTATGGGCCGGTGATGAATCCAAAGCAGCGATCATCATCCAAATGAATAGGAATGAGACCGATCTTGAAACGGGAAAGATGGCACTGTGTCGGTCTTGACGAGGATGGCAGCTCGTAGGCCGATTGTGAATCCAAAGCAGCAGTCACCATCCAATTGAAGGAGGGTCTGACCGGTCTTGAGACGGGAATGATGGTGTTGAGCCGGTGCTGATGTAGACGAAGACTCATGGGCCGATCATGACTCTGAAGCAGCGGTCATCATCCGAGTGAAGGATGATGTGGCCGATCTTGAAATGAGAATGATGGTGTTGTTGGTCGAGCTTGACGTTTGACTCACACCTACAAGGTGATGTGCATAGCAAAGTCAGAGATTAAACTCACGATGTCATTTGACTTTCAAGCTTCCATAGAATGGATGTACGATTCCAGACCGAGAGTGGCACTTGAAGGGCTTCCTGATGAAGGTCAAGAGAGCGATGCTTTGACGACTCCTTGATGTAGGGCAAGAGAGCAGTGCTTGGACGATTCGTTCCTTGTTGCGTATTGAGTTAGTGAGAAAGTTCTACTGCAGGTCCGCTCATTCATGTCCCCAAACCCCTTCCATAGCCCCATCCCCAGTCCCCTCCCTACCTTCCCCTGGCCCAATTACTCTAGCCACCGCTCTCCGGTCAGCTCCCACCGCCTACTCGCCGGTGACCACCACTCCCCAGCCCCTGAACCACCGCCACTGCCCCACCCCATACCCCAGCCCCGACCACTGCCTACCCCACACCACACCACCGCACAACTGTCAATTCCCCACTGTTGTAGCACCACCCCAACCCCAAATAAATTTATTTGGGACCGGAGGTAGTATGTCTAGCTAGACGAAACTAATAATAAACACGTAGTACTACCTAGAAAGTATAAAGAGAAAATTGCAAATACATATACTCTCTTCGTTCCTTAAAATTTTGTTAACTTTCCTTTTTTGGTTATCCCACTAGCTTTGCCACTTTCCTTTTTGAGTAAAAAATTTGCGATTTCAGTTAATTCTCTCTCCTCTGCACAAAGCTCAACCACATAGTTTTTACTTTATTAATCATCATGCCGGTCAAACGTGCTAAACTTTTGAGGGACGAAAGGAGTATTAAATAATAAGAGGTTGCAATTATAACAATAAAAATAAATCATAAAAAATATACAAGTATAATTAAGGATGTTTTCTTTTGGACTGAAATTTGTTGGTTTGGTCTGGTCTGTTAGAGTCTGGTTTGGTCTGGTCTGAACTGATCTTATCTGGTAAATGTCTGGTCTCTGTGTATTTTATAACTATGAAATCCTGGTCCGGTTTGATCTGTTTAAGTTCGGTCTGGTCTTTTTTAGTCTTGTCTGGTTTGACTTGGTCTGATATGGGACTAAAAACAGTCCTAAAGAAAACATCCTAAGTCGTATAATTGGGGATGATCAGTATGATAGAACATCTCCAATGCCACAACGTGCACGGTGCACATGTGGCATGAGGAGAATAAGATAGCATGTTAGAACATCTTACGTCGATAAGAATTTCATAAGATGTCATTAAAATTTTAATGAGATTCTAATGGAATCCATGGAATTTGAAATTCCCCTCTGATTCTCAGCAGTCCGCACATTAGGTCCAGCAATCCAACTTTCACAACCAAAGAAGGAAAGGAGGGGATCTAGGTTGCTGATGTCATCCTCGACGAGTCTTGGCATATCGAACCTAGCAACGACCTTTTTTAATCCATCGCTATCACTGTTACTTGGGCCAGATGATGACTGATAACATGTCAAGCATTTATGTCTTTTAGAAGGGCCGAGAGATTCATCATCCGTTATGCTTTTTGAAGTTCTTATTTTGCAGGTAAGCTATGGAGAGTCCTCCACTTGGTTTGCTTCTCCACGGGAGAGCTATTATGCATAGGTAACGATGAGATATTTTAGATGGAATGTTTTATGTATAGACATCTACTAGAATCCTTTAAAACCCATTAAAACAAATAATAATAATTGAAATCCATAGGAAAATTTAGGACACCCATATTTTAATGAAATTCATTGAACTTCAAATCAAAACCTCTAAATTATGATGAAATTCTAAAATCTTTTAAAATCCAATAAAATCCAAATTAAGGACATTCCTAGAGTAGTTTTTAGGAACGGTATGTGACTCTCTTTTGGAATTACATAGGGTATTGTGTTTCCATATCCATGATTCAATTTATTAGTGAAGGTCTTCGCTAAAAAGAATAAGTGGTGAACATAATGTCATATATGGTCTTTTTGTTATAAAATGGAAGGAAATAAGCAGAAGATCAGGGAGAGAAATATAGTATGAACACTTAGTGATAGATTATATTATTGAGAGTGTGATAATGGTGTAACCATGGTGTGTTAATTACAATGGAGAAGCCTCCTATTTATAGGAGAAAGGTTAAGCTTCATAGGATTAGAGGATAATTGTGAACCACACAATTATCATCTAGAATCATAATTATGATTTCCTGATTATTTATATAATGGTGATAATAATTCCTAATCAGGAATAGTTGGAAGATGACTAATTCAATAATATTTCAACACTCCCCCTTGAATGGTCATCTTCTAATTATTCTGGGGTATTAGTTTCATAGTATTATAATGTACTGTCTCGTTAAAAACCTTGTCAGGAAAAAACCTAGTGGGAAAAAAAAAATCCTGACGAAGGGAAAAAGAGTGCAGTGCATTATATTACTCCCCCTCAATTTAACATATATCTGGAAGACGATACATTCCAATTTTATGGACCAGTTCTTCAAATTTCTTCGGTGCCAATGACTTTGTGAACAAATCAGCAGGGTTGTCGCATGACTTGATTTGTTTGACATCAACCGTTCCGTTATTCTCAAGATCATGTGTGGAGAAAAGTTTTGGTGCTATATGCTTTGTTCTGTCCCCTTTGATGTAACCTCCTTTGATCTGAGCTATACATGCTGTATTATCTTCATAAATCACAGTAGGATTAGAAGTAAAAGATTTTATACCGCATTCATTTTGTATGTGCTGGATCATTGATCTCAACCAGACACACTCACGACCTGCTTCATAAAGAGCAATTAATTCTGCATGATTTGATGATGTTGCAGTTAATGTTTGCTTCATTGATCTCCATGATATAGCGGTATCACCATAGGTGAATAAATATCCTGTTTGTGATTTTGCCTTTTGTGGATCAGACAAGTATCCTGCATCCGCGTAGCCAATTAAAGTGGCATTTGCACCATTCTTGAAATACAATCCAAGATCGATTGTACCATTGAGATATCGGAATATATGTTTGACACCATTCCAATGCCTTCTTGTTGGGGAAGAACTGTACCTGGCTAATAAATTTACAGAAAAAGCAATATCTGGTCGAGTATTATTAGCCAAATACATTAATGCTCCAATAGCACTCAAATATGGTATTTCGGGACCAAGGATTTCTTCATCATCTTCACAAGGTCGGAAAGGATCATCATGCACATTGAGAGATCGAACCACCATTGGAGAATTGAGCGGATGTGCTTTATCCATGTAAAACCGCTTCAAAAGTTTCTCGGTATAATTTGATTGGTGGATGAAAATACCATTTCTCAAATGTTCAATTTGAATGCCGAGACAAAATTTTGTTCTCCCAAGGTCTTTCATTTCAAATTCTTTCATGAGATATTTTGCAGTATTTTCAATTTCATTAGGAGTTCCGATTATATTCAAATCATCAACATATACTGCAATTATGGCGAATCCTGATTCGGATCGTTGAATGAAAACACATGGACTAATAGGATCATTTTTATACCCTTCTTTAATCAAATATTCACTGAGACGGTTATACCACATGCGTCCAGATTGTTTTAATCCATATAATGACTTTTGCAATTTTATGGAAAATAAATCTCGAGATTTCGAGCTATAAGCATCAGGTATTTTAAAGCCTCCAGGAATTCTCATATATATGTCTGTATCGAGTGAACCGTATAAATATGCGGTCACCACATCCATTAGGCGCATTTGCAACCTTTCAAAAACAGACATGCCAATTAAAAATCTTAAAGTTGTAGCATCAACTACTGGAGAATACGTCTCATCATAATCGATTCCTGGCATTTGAGAAAAACCTTGGGCAACAAGTCGGGCTTTGTATCTAACGATTTCATTTTTCTCGTTGCGTTTACGCACAAAAACCCATTTAAAACCGACAGGTTTTACGCCTTTTGGCGTATGGACAATTGGTCCAAAAACATTACGCTTTTCTAGCGATTTTAATTCTACCTGAATTGCTTCATTCCATTTTGGCCAATCATTTCTACGACGACATTCGTCAATAGATTTAGGCTCATTGTCATCGTGTTCATTCATTATATCTGTGGCGATGGCATATGAAAATATGTCATTAACATCAATATCATTTCTATTCCATTGTATTCCATTAGAAACGTAATTAATTGAAATTTCAAAATTATCAACGTTTCTATCTTTATCTGGAATATTTACCTCTTCGAAGGTGATTGGATCCTCTTTTGAGGTATCATTATTATTGATGTTATCTTCAAGGCCGATATTTTCAAAATGTTCATTTTCTTCTTGAGAAGGTTGAACTTCTTTGGCATCATAAACTACAACTTGCTGTTTAAATTTTCTTGTTTCAAATCTCTTGAACCAAGTGGTCTACCATAGATTCATTAGCAAGTGTTCTTTCGCTAATCTCCGCAGGAATTTCTATTCGAGAAGGAGCATTCATAGCTGGAACATGTGACTTTGTCACTTTCTTTGAGTCTGTGAAAGCATCAGGCAATTGGTTTGCAACATTTTGTAAATGAATAATCTTTTGAATTTCTTGTTCACAAGCATTTGTGCGAGAATCAAGAAAAGATAAATTTGTTGCATTCCAAGTAATATCTTTCGTACGTGGGTCCATTTCTTTAATATCTCCCCCTAAGGCTGGGAATACTGTCTCATCAAAATGACAGTCATCGAACCGCGCGGTGAATAAGTCACCGGTCATAGGTTCTAGATAATTAATAATTGAGGGTGATTTAAAACCAACATAAATTCCCAGCCTTCTTTGAGGACCCATTTTAATACGATAAGGTGGAGCAATTGGTACATACACAGAACAACCAAATATTTTTAGATGTGATATATTTGGTTCTTTACCAGATATTAATTGTAATGGGGAAAATTTATGATATGCCGTTGGCCTAAGCCGAATTAAATTTGCAGCATGCATTATAGCATATTCCCATGCAGATGATGGTAATCTGAATTTCATCAATAATGGTCTAGCAATTAATTGCAATCGCTTAATTAAGGATTCGGCAAGACCATTTTGTGTATGTACATGTGGAACTGGATGTTCCACATCAATCCCAATTGACATGCAATAGTCATTAAAAGATTGGGATGTAAATTCTCCTGCATTATCAAGTCGGATTTTCTTTATCGAATAATCCGGAAATTGTGATCTCAAACGAATAATTTGAGCAAGGAGATTTGCAAATGCAAAATTTCTAGTCGATAAAAGACTGACATGTGACCAACGTGTTGATGCATCAATGAGCACCATAAAATATCGAAACGGTCCACACGGAGGGGTAATTGGCCCACAAATATCTCCTTGAATTCTTTCTAAAAATGCAGGAGATTCAACTCCAATTTTGTATAAAGATGGCCTGATAATTAATTTGCCAAGAGAACAGGCAGTGCACGGAAAATCACTTGATTGTGGAGTCTTGACATTATTTAATGAATGTCCACGTGAATTTTCAATAATTTTGTGCATCATAGTGCTGCCTGGATGACCTAAACGGTCATGCCACAAGATGAAGGAATTGTGGTCATAAATTTTAGATACCACATTTATCTCAATTGGACTGATATATGTATAATACAGTCCCGAGGAATATGTTGGCATTTTTTCAGAAATGTATTTATTGCCAGATCTATTTGTCGTTAGACATAAATATTCCTTCTGATTTTCAGACATGGTTTCAATATGAAAACCATTTAGACGCATATCTTTAAAACTCAAAAGATTTCTCCGTGATTTACTGGAGTATAAAGCGTCTTTAATTATTAATTTTGTCCCTTTTGGGAGAATCACACAGGCTATTCCAGAACCTTCAATGAGTTTAGCAACACCTGAGATTGTATTGACATTAGCATCAACTAATGTCATATGAGAAAAATAATCTCTATGTCTCAAAATGGTGTGCGTTGTGGCACTGTCTATTAAACATTGTTCAAAGCCACTTGGAGAAATTTCAGTTAACTCCATATCTTCGCGAAGATAAAATGAACAAATATTAGTTCAATATTGTAATATAAATTGTACTTCACTTAATAGTACATTTAATTGTGCATAACTTTCACGTTAAAAATAAGCACTACTTTAAATTTCTATTTTGAAATATACTCCATACTAGATAACAAGGAGAAAATAAAGTGAGTTACTCTATTCGGACTTTCAATAAGAGAAATGATTTAGGTCACATATTTACTTCTTATTAATTTCGACCTCATCATTTGAGATTAAAAACGATCATGAGTGCCGTTATGAGGGGTTATTCCCGGCAATTGACAGAAATGTACATAATGACCGTTTGGTTCAAGTTACTGTCATACCAATTATTAAGGGGCCCTCTTAACAATTGGTGACGTGTAACTTAATAATAATCAAAAGTTATTATTTCGAAAGAAATAATATACTATAGTAAACGTATGTCTTTGATGGATAAATTGTTGTCTTTTAACAATATACAACACAGCAGTCCATTTTTCAAATAATTTTAGTTCATCGGTTTTAAGTAATATTTTAGTCAAAGTGATTGTGTTGAAAAAACATTTCACACACATGAGGTAGCAAAAAGAAAACAATAATGAACTTCCTCCAAAGTCCAAATCAAGAGGTATACGTATAATTTATTGTTATCACTTTTATTTATTAATTATTTCATATGCGTAGATGTAGTAATCTATACTCAGTATTAAATCCATTTCATTTTTATTTATTTATACACCGAGTCTTTAAATTGAAATGGTGTTGGGAAAAGCCAAAATAGTGAAGTCAACATTAATATAAAAAAAAACTTCACGTGTATATGTCGGCATGAGAGACCATAGTCAGGAGTCAGGACAGTCATGAGTCATCTCATTTAATGTTAGGGAGTAGCTTATTATGTTCTCTCAATGTATATATGTAATGAATTTAAAAAAAAACATTAAACCAATCCTTGAGATGGATAACTGAATAGCTCAATAGATCTCCATAAGATGTATGTATATTATGTACCGAGTATATATGAAGGCACTATGATAATTACTTCATTAAATTAAATTGCCGTGTCGACCCGTGAGTTATACGGAGTATATCAATATATGTGGTACTGGTGCTAGTAAAAATAAACAACCCATGACTCCAGAAAATTGTCAGTGCTTTATGAGTGTCTAGCCATTTAGATAAGACCGTTTATTTGTCCAGTTTGTTTATCTCACCCCTAAGTAGCAAATACATGCAATTTACATGGATATTTGTTGTGTCAACCCAACTCATAATATCATGACGTACAAAAAGATGTGGTAGTGTTAGTACACCCATGTGAAATACGGAGTAGTTGGTTTTATAGAGAGATACTACGATGTACTCCGTATTTATTATATCAATTATGTAAGTGTCTTCTCAAAGGAAGAAGACAAGTAAAAATAAATGCTCTTATCTACTTGTATGGTCCGTGACTTACCAGCTAGTTTTATTTATACATCAATTCAATGAATTAGTTTGTATGATGATGTTCGAATATAAAGCAAACAACGTACTAATTTCCCCTCACCGTCTCTCCTTTTTTTTTACAGAGTACTTCATATCGAGTTCCCTTTTTTTTATAGTCTATGAAGATATAAAAATAGATTGTATTTATGCTACTATCAAATGTTGAAGAGAGGAAAAGAAAACTAATACTATATCTACTACGTAGTATATTAGTTGATGGATTCATGAGATTGATGAGCTTATGCTCTTCTTATATTCATACGGATTTAGTTCATATCTATTTAGTACAATATGTACGTTCATATTATCATATATACATGAAAATCTCTGATATATGCTGTCAAACATTCTTCCCAAGCAAAAGTTCAGATTTCAGAGCATATTTTATCTCAAGAACATATTAGTATAAAGGTATGTCTTTCTTCCTCTTCGGCCTCTTTTATATAAAATATAGCTATAATTTTCTGATATGGAGGATCCCAATTGTTGGGCAACCATAGAGCATACTTCTTATAGTTTTGAATATATACATAAATATGTTTATACTTCTCAACATCTAATTTTTCTTTTCCAGATAGGTTGATAAATTCATGAAATAATATACCTGCTGGGAAGATGATGATTTCAGGATTTGGAGCAAATTCGTGCTGATAACGTGTTATAAAATGGAAGGAAATAAGCAGAAGATCAGGGAGAGAAATATAGTATGAACACTTAGTGATAGATTATATTATTGAGAGTGTGATAATGGTGTAACCATGGTGTGTTAATTACAATGGAGAAGCCTCCTATTTATAGGAGAAAGGTTAAGCTTCATAGGATTAGAGGATAATTGTGAACCACACAATTATCATCTAGAATCATAATTATGATTTCCTGATTATTTATATAATGGTGATAATAATTCCTAATCAGGAATAGTTGGAAGATGACTAATTCAATAATATTTCAACACTTTTAAACTTTTTGGACACCCCCTAAATGTGAGAGCAAAAAGGTTTTGAATTAAATTTGAAATCAAAAGCAAGAGTAAACTAATACGGAGTATCATTTTTTTTGAGGAAACTAACTATCAACTAAAACGGAGTGTCATTTGCGCGCGATATTTTGGTAGCAAACTGGCACGGATGGGGCGTGGTGAGTATTTCTGCATTTTGCACTCCTTTATAAAGCAGCTCGCCAGTTAGTTTCGCACTTCAGCTGTCAGCGAGAGATTTCATTTCAAATTCCGTTCAGAATTTATCTCTCTCTTCTCTTTCTTTGAATACTCTAATTGTTTCGTTCTATCTCTGGAAAGTTCTCTGAAAATGGTGAGAAATCCGAAATTCATCCATGGATAGCTTTATTGTTATCGTTTTTCCAGCTATCTAATTTGGAATTTCGGCTCACTCAAATCGTTCAGGTGGTCTCGCAGAAGGTGAAGGAAACTGAAATAACAGAGCAGGACTCGCTGCTTCTCGTAAATCTCATTCTGCTTTTCAATTTCAGCACCACATTTTATCATTTTTTGACATAGAAGTAGAGCATCGCATGGAAGTGAACTGGACTAGCCTATTTTAGATTATTTTTTTGAATCACCTCGTTTATACATCCTTTTGGATTATCATTGCGTGGTATATCATTATATCGGATCTTACATTTTATTAATCTCTATGGCTGACTGCATTTGCTTATTTACCAATCGTGTAAGCACTCTCATCTCGCATATGTATATTTACTAAATTGTTTCGGATAATCTGGGTAGGCTTGTGAATGATTGTTTTTATATGAACTGAGGTCTTAGATGATATTCATCTCCACTTCGTTTCAATTGAAATTTCAAAGGTATTCACGTTCTGCTAGTTTTGTGAATAGGCTCCATTTTTTTTGTGGTTGTTCATTGAAAAGTGTTTGTTGTATTTGCCCGGATGCTGGCTTGTTGCTGTAAGCATGATCACTCAGAACTCTGAAAATGATATGTAGTCTGTACTCCTATGTGTTCTAAAAAATCTGAAAATGCTGAGTATACATCTTGCATATGTATACTTACTAAATTGTTTCGAATGATCTGGGTAAGCTTGTGAATGATTGTTTTTATATGAACTGAGGTCTTAGATGATATTCATCTCCACTTCGTTTTGATTGAAATTTCAAAGGTATCCACATTCTGCTAGTTCCGTGATAGGCTCCGAATATTTTTCTGGTTGTTCATTGCAAAGGGTTTGTTGCATTTGCACTGGTGTTGGCTTGTTTCTGTAAGCATGATAACTCAGAACTCTTAAAATGCTATGTAGTATGTACTCCTATGTGTTCTAAAAAGAGAAGTGTACTCTGTTGTTGGAATTCGCCAATAGCGTTGATGAGTTCTATGTACTTATGTAGTATTTGAAAGCAAAAATGATTTTAGTTGAAGGGATATTGATGGCTTCCTGAAGATTTTGAGGAGTGAGCTTCATACACTTGTTTTAATTCTTTGATAAAGTTGAATCTATATCATTAATGTCTGTCTCAGTCTCAGATAAGTGCACATGCATTATAATTACATGAGAACTCCCCCGCTGAGTGTTTTCTGCAATATTTTGTACAATAGACAAGGAATCTGCTGCGGATTGCAATATTTAATATCAGCTACATCCGTGGCCTTTTTCCTGAGAAGTATTTCAGTGATAAGTCTGTTCCAGCATTGGGTAAGTTGTTGAACAACATTGATAAATTAGCAGAATGGCATTGGTTTCTGAGTCCTTTTTTGCATCATTTGAAACAGAAATGAAGATTAAGAAGCTCATGCCAATGGATGCTGAGTCACGTAGACTGCTTGACTGGATGGAGAAAGGCATGGTTTATCCCAGTTTATCTGTAATACTCTCATTTGTGGGGTTGGCTTCTTTGTCTTGTTATTCATGGTGTTGGTTTATGTTTGTAGGAGTTTACGATGCATTGCAGAAGAAATACTTGAGAACACTATTGTTCTCAGTATGTGAAGCTATAGATGGGCCCATGATTGAGGAATATGCTTGTAAGATTTCAAGATATTATTATTTGCTGTAAAAGAGTTAAACTAGATTTTGAATATTGGATGGAACTATCACATGATTTTAGATATGAAAGAGGTCGGTCTGAGTTTATGAAAAGAAAGAGTTACCAGATACCAGGGCTTTTAGAGTTTATTGCTTTGATAGAATTTTCAGGGTCTGAATTTGTTTTATGGTTGGTATATGTCATGAATAAACGGATTCCGGAACATTAAAAAGATGCTAAGCAAATTTCTTGAAAAGATTTTACTGGTTTGACCACTATTTAATCTAACATTTATTTCTGCAGTCTCCTTCAGCTACTCAAGTTCTGATAGCCAAGAAGTTATGATGAATGTGAATCGTTCTGGAACAAAGAAGCGCGGGACGTTTAAATGTAACTCTGATGCTGAGGTAACCGCCAACCAGATGAGGTAGTTATATATACACACATCTTTATATGTGTATATGTATGTATATATCATTTGTTCTTGTTTATCTGTTGAACTCATGCTTATCTCATTTTAATTGTTGGTATCTTAGGAATTCTGCTTGTAAGATGGTTCGTACCCTGGTTCAACTGATGAGAACGTTGGATCAAATGCCAGAAGAGGTGTGTACTGTGTGTTAGCTTCTAAACTAACACCTGTACATGGATTTTTTAACTTTTGACCCTAAACTTGATACATATTTCCTCTTTTCATCTTTTATATCTCAGAGAACTATATTGATGAAGCTCCTTTACTATGACGATATCACGGTATGTGTCATATTTTAATGGGTTTAATTTTAATAGTTAATACTAGCCTATTAAATCTTTATATTGAAGTTTCATCATGAAAGATTTGGTAAGTTCTGATTGTTCATAAAACCTGTAATGTAACTTTTCAAGTGCCTGAATTGCCTTCCCATACCATTACTATTTACTGCATCATCTATTATGGGCTGCAGATAGTACACTCTCTGGAATATGCGTTTTTTTTTTAGATTTTTGTTTATAAATCAATGTTTTTAATGTATATGGGGATATGGTCCTGCAATTCAAAGCTCTTTGAGTGAGTTTTTGTTTTTACTTTTCTGCTTTTGCATTCAGAAATTTGCACTTTAAAATTCTGTTACTAAAGAGTAAAGAGTTGATTAATTGTGTTCAATGTGTTGTACCAGAAAGCATGATTAGCTTACTCATACATCTTACATCCCACAATGTCACTATATGGTATTGACGACATAATTTGATGCTAATGCAGCCGGCTGATTACGAGCCCCCTTTCTTCAGAGGCTACAAAGAAGAGGAAGCTCTTAATCCATGGACTAAAAGTCCTCTCAAAATGGACGTTGGAAATGTGAACAGTAAACATTTTGTACTTGCTCTCAAGGTAAAGGTTAGGTTGCACTACAGAGGTAATTTGAGGAGCATTTGATGTTAAATGCTTTTTCCTTATAATGATTATCTGGACAGGTGAAGAGTGTTCTTGACCCCTGTGAAGATGATAATGATGATAATCATAGTGATAATGTGAGCTTAGCTGCTGACTCTGCCCAGAGAGATGATAGCGACATTGATAGTGAGGTTAAATTCTTCTCAATAGAGTCATCATATCAATTTAAAACCTGATTTATTATTTACATACGGAGTATGATTTTCTTGATGTGCTAAAAGCATTCTCATATTTAATTATGTATTTCAGTCCAGTCAATCTGATGATGATCAATATGTAGTTGCCCCTAGAGGTAACATACTACATATCTCTGATCCCTAAACTTGGCTCTCCAGAAAATACTTTTTATTTTTCAAAATATTCTGTCTTGCATCACTCCACGCAACACACTTCTTTCTTATGATCAGAGAAAGGAGAGAAGGAACAAAATGCTCCTCTGCTTGATGAAGGTAATCTTTTTTCTACATGAAAACCATGTGATAGATCATGAAGGGTTCCCACTTTGAAAGATACAAGAAATAAAAATTTATGTGTGCTTTTTAGGATGTTCAGATGATACACAGGACCCAGCAGAGGATGAGCACCAAATTGGGCGGGTCAGGGATTGGATCAATGCTCACCACCTTCCCAAAGTTGAACTGACTGATGTTTTCTCCAGTTTTCCTGACATTTCAGTGGTAAATACTCTAATATACTTTTATGTATATTTGTTACTGGAAAGTTCCTATTTTATTATTTAAAGTCAATCTAATGCAAGTCTGCAACCTGCTTACTTTTCATTAACCTTTTCAATTATTTGCAGGCTTTGATAGAAGGTACCTGAAGAACATCCTGGTTAAGCTTTACAATAATAATAAAGGAACCTTCTTTATCAGTTTGAGTTCGATACTTAATGCATTTATGCTTTTTTTCAGAACTTATGGCAAAGCTTGTCACGGAAGGCGTTGTGTCAAAGACTGATACGGATACTTTTACCATTAACAAGCAGAATGTATATTTTAATTTCTTTTTATCCCTTGGTGCTTCATAATTTACATGTATTTTCTTTATCCGTTCCAGACTCAATCTATCTCTGATATACTAGCACTCCTTAATAATCATAGACATTTTGTTTGGGACAAATTCTGAACTGCAGAAATCCGACTATGAGTTCGATGCCGTGAAAGAAGAAATGGACTGTCAGTTTGGGCCAAAAGGCAACAATGCAAAAAAGGGCAGTAATCAAGATTACATGTATATGAAGGTGCTATTTTTTCTCATTCAAATCTGAGCTGGCAATTTTGTCTAGTGTATTTTCAATTTGAAGCAGTTCTCATTTCTACACATCCCAGGAATTTCATTCGTACAACACTTCAACATTTTTTCCACTGATTTTTTAGTTGATTGTGTGGCATTTTAATTTCAGGCTTTATACCATGCACTTCCCATGAACTATGTATCTGTTTCAAAGCTTCAGAGTAAACTTGAAGGGCAAGCCAGTCAACCTACAGTTCGCAAATTAATAGATAAGATGACCCAAGATGGCTTTATTGAAGCTAAAAGCAATCGCAAATTAGGTAGGAATAGTGGAATTACATTTTGCAGTGTCTTTTTGAGGAAGGGTATATTTTCATTCTTCATATTGTACCCCCCTTCCCCCGTTCAGGGAAGCGTGTGATCCACTCAGATCTGACTGAAAAGAAGCTTAGTGAAGTAAAGAAAGCTTTAGAAAAGGATTTTATGGTAATTAACTATCCACTCATAGGCCACTGTCTCCCCTTTTTTGATAGTATAATTTTCTCTCGTGATTTGATGATGCTTTTAATTGATGTTTATTCTTAGGAAGTGGAAAACCATGAATCAGGTAAAAAAAAATTAAAAATTGAGTTTTAGGAATTCAGCCATATCATTTCATAACCCACTAACACCATAGTACATTAATTGCACAGTTAACAACCTTAAGGACTTGTCCACATGCGGTGGGCTCCACTCAATTGGGTCAGATGTCACCAGAACAAAGGGGAAATCTGATGCATACCAGAATGAGTCCATTAGGACCGATCAAACCGTGTCTAAGAGGAAGGATCTTGGTAGCACTCCCACAAGCAGGGTTGAGGTTTGTCAAGTTATTTCACTGCCTCTATGTGACGTTCACATTTTTTTTTCACTGATGAGTGATGACTACCCTACAGCCAGTGGCTTCTAGAGAGAGTTTTGTACCTGGACATGATGAAAACGGAAGATCTAATAACAAAGACTCCATCAACAACTGTGACGATTCTGACAATATTATCTGCAGCCGGTCTAGCCAGGGCAAACGTTCTAGGAAAGCAAGCACGGTATATATGCTTCTACTTGTCACCGGGGGGTGGGTGGGTGGGGGGGTATGCTATTATTTCAAGGTATGTTTAGATGTTGGAAAATAACAGACAAGTGAAAAAAGTGTAAAGCTTAGTTGTTTTCTATCTTAGGTTTTACCTTGCAAAATACAAAATAGAGATGAAACGTGATTATTCTTTTCTTTGAAGTTTGACATAAAATTAGAATATTGATACTCATATACATGAAGAATTTAACAAATGAGTTCGAACAGATTTCTATAACAAACTAATTGAGTAGATCTTTTTGTTTTCGTCCAAATTTTCTTTCATTCTCATTTTCTAGTCAATTTTCTTTCTATAGTACTTTTTAAGTTCCAGATTAGACCTTTACTGCCTGAAAGTCAGAATGTTATCCCGTTAATAACTCATTTATTCACATCATCTGTATTTACAGGTCAAAGAGCCAATTCTTCAGTCTGTTAAGCGCCTGAAATCTCAAGCGGCTTGAAGAGTCGTGGGGACCTTCACAACACTTCTCTCAAGAGTTTCTTTTCACTTGTACTGTTTATAAATATATATACACTTATAATTAATGGTGCTCAATATTTGCTCAGACATTGGCATGCATGTAAATTCCCAACAGATAGGGACTGACATGCACTGAACCTTCACATATGTTTCCAATTACTCAGTCTGAACTTTTATCAACTTATTTATAGAATATCGAAAATGTGTACGTTTTTTTCTTGTTTCAAGTGGCAAAAAGTGAGGATATCCTTTCTAATCGTTGTGAGAAATGATACCTTATCTTGGTGTTTCAGTTTCTTGGGCTGCCTTGGAAAATGGTGTTAGCAAAATAGAATTATAATTGCAAGTTTAACCATATGAAAATCCCGAGTTTAAACAAATCGCCAGACAAACCGTCAAATGCAAGAAAGAAAATAATAATGATAATTAGAATAAATGGAAAAAGAATAAAGAGAAAAAAATAAGAAAAACTTATCGTAGGATCGCCCGTTAAAATGGACTGGCCCTGAAGAAGGATAGCCCTCATATCCCGATAGCTATTCAGACGGGTCTGGCTAGCTCGCTCCCAGGATAATCCTACCACGTTTCAGGCTCGTAGCTACCTTGACTGAAACCTTCAAATTTGCTAATAGAAGAGATGAGTGCAAAATTATCAAGGAAGAAAGAGGAGTCCGTGAAGGTGATAATATTCCTCCACTTATAAGAAAGAAGGGAAGCTTTTGGTTTTTGTTCGTACGTTCAGTAAAAAGGAGAACTCTCAAAGTGTTCTTTAGCACTCAAAGTATATACTACGGAGTATGTATTTCAGTTACATGGGTTTTTCTTTTTAATTTGGAAATCAGATTTTAAATATAAGAGAATGTAACTGAAGCTAGGTGTTAATAATCTGGCACGATCCAAGTAATTCGAATAGCCTTAATAACCATCTTGACCAGGGGCAAATTATATCCTACAACCGGTTGTACCTTGAGCATGGTACAGCCGAGTATTTTTGTAATATATTGGTGTTGGCAGCCGTTGTTGTTACAGGAGAAGGGAACGGTGAAAGAGCCGAGTCGGTCGTTTCCTGCTGTGGATCAAATTTTGCTACGCCTGGAACTCCGAAGAGCTCTGCACCGCCATCCATTCTGATTACTTTTTCTTTTTGCTTTTTGCTTTGTGCACAACCGTCATCTAGTTTTGTCTTTTTGCTTTGACTTTTTCTTTACTTTTACCTAGCTAGTTGATTTTACTTTATTTTGTTTAGTCTTTTTATTTACTTCTTTTCGTTTGTTTATTTGTTGATTACTTTTTTTATATTATACCAAGCACATTAGAAATGAATTCTACCTTAAAATCAAATGAGTAAAACGCCTAAAAAATGAACAATACACAAATGAGCTTTTGAATTTTTGAATACTCATTTTGTAAATTATGTATGTTCATTAAGTATCTCTGCTATGCTCATTTTTAAAATGTTTTAGCAATGCACATTTCAAAAATCACATATTACATTAGATTTATATAAGAGTTGATTATAGACACGAGACCACAAATCATGATACTCAAACGCAGATTCTAATACTCAATAACGGGGATTTGATGCTCGCCGAAAATAGAGGAGTTTTGATGTTGAATGAAAATGTTGTGATGTTCAACTAGCAAAACAACTAAAAAATTCATTAATACTCATGTTGTAAGTTACATATGCTCATCTGATACTGATCTTATGCTCATTTTCTAAATGTCATATCAATGCATTTTTAAAAGTATTATTTTATGATAGACTCTTAATACTCAACATAATAGGTTCGATGCTCATTAAAAGTTCATTAATGCTCATTCACAAGAAACTATGATTTTCATCTCAATAGCAGATGTTTGATGTTCAATTAAAATGTCGTGATGTTCAACTAACAAATCTTACGATAAAAAATAACAAAAAGAAAGTGAATTACAAATTATGCAGCAGAGATCACGATTCTGAATATTAGACTCCTAATACTCAACAGAGTAGGTTGGTTGCTCATTAAAGGTTCAATATTACTCATTCTCCAGAAGTCGTGACTTTGATCTCAATAGTGGAGGTTTGATACTCAATTAAAATGTCATGATGTTCAACTAACAAACTTTACGATTTTCATATCAATGTGCCATTTCTAAGTTATGTATGCTCATTTGATACTGATGATATGCTCATTTTTTAAATGTCATATCAATGCATATTTCAAAAGTATCGTATTACATTAGAATCGCATATTTAAATTAACAGGAGTAGATAATAGATATAATTTAATTAGTTTTTATAAAAGAAAATAATAGAAAAAGAAAAAAATAGAAGATATGAAGCAGAAATTGTTATACTCATTGTTAACCTCTTAATGCTCAATCAAATAGGCTAGATGTTCACAAAAATTACAATATTGCTCATTTAGCGTAAGCCGTGATTTTTCACTTAAATTACAAAAGTGCCACCGAAAAAAAAATGGTCTGTACTGCTTATTGGGTTGTCTTCCTAATTGGGCCGGATGTATATACATCCGGTTGTACCATATAGGCTCTCTTGACCAGGCAAACAATTTGAAATCAGATTACAAAATCCGTTTGGTCCATTTACTTGGCGAACAATTTTGAATATCACCTATTCAAATTATTCATTTGGTCCCATAAAGCTCCATCTCTAATACGGAGTATACGTTAGCAAAATATGAAAAGATTGTGATTTCAATTTATGTCCGGTAAACAAATGCCTTTTATCTTAACATATTATTCGAACCGTCACTCAAGTGAGTCTGTAGGCGTAGAATAATATTAATAAATCTTATGTGATACTTAAACAATAATGTCCCTTATCACATAATATTTTTGAACCCAAAAAAAATACAATAAAATAAAAGGCTGTTTATTCTTAACACAGACACTTAAATTCACTTTCTTGTTACATCAACTTTTCAAAATTTACAACTATGGATTCCAATCATTAGATGAAATAAATCCAACCATGTAAATTGTTCTTCTGATGTATAATAAGACACATCTAATCGTATTTTATACATATTTTCTTAGGACTCGAAAACAAGAGACCTTAAGAAAATAACATATTTCATCATATTTCCAACAATCCCCCACAAATCCATAGTTGTAGACTAAACTCTAATTGACATAGTGTGCTTTCAAATATGGTACCTTCCGGTTTGAACCAAGTTCTAAGCTTTTACCCCTAACCCCCACAGGAACTGAGTGAACAGAGTTCTTGAACTCGAACCTTGAATGTGTTGGCGTGGGATAATAGCAACACACTAACGGCAATGACAACGATCTATAGGGTTGACGCTTTATGGCCATGCGTCCCGATCCTGTCTCAAGAATGTCATCGAGAATTAACCCTTATTCTCTTATTGCGGTCACACAATAACATTCTCATAGTTGGGCATCTCCAAGAGTGCATTGCTAACACTCTGCTTTTAAATCTCGATCCCATTCAGAGTCTTAAACTCTTACTAACTTAGCAATTTCAGCATCTCTAAGGCTTATCAAGGAATAGAACTCATTAAAAAAATGTTTTAATGAGATGCACAATTCACTCTACGGTTTGTTTATACCACATTGAACCTACTTTATGGGATCTCCACTCAGATAGGTTGGGTTGCTACCGAAGATGAATAGTTCTTGATTTTATCACTTGATTTAAATCAAGTCCTTTTGTTAAAGGGTCTACTGTATTATCTTTGGATCCAACAAAATCAACAACAAACACCCCTTGAGACACAAATTTCCTTATAGTTTTTAATCTAACTTGAATGTGTCTCCTAGTCTTTTGATTATACTTGGTACTCCTAATTTTTGCAATTGTACTCATACTATCAATTGAAGGCAATTGATAGTTTTTAATCGGAAACCCTGACTTATGTTATTTTTCTATTTTTTTATTAGTTTTGAACTCTGTTTTGTTATTTCATTCCCCTTCTAGTAGCAGGAACATCGTTGTTGTGTATGGAGTCTACCAAATTCCGGGGTTAGCGAGATGGGCCGCTAGTAAGTGCGATTCCAGCTCTGAGTCTCATCCCAGTGTAGCCTTTGTTATGACGATTTTGTATCCGGTCCTCAGTTGTGATAATTACGTTATCTGTTCTAAAAAAACCAATTAAATTAATTGAATGCACGAGGACTATAAATTTGGGTAATTCTAAATGCACACCGGTTTTTACTAAGGACAACCTCCCTTTTTAATTTGTTTTTAACAAAATGATTGATTTTACAAACTTGCCCTTAGTAAAAGTATTTTTATTTCTACTTGCTAAACATATCCTTACACAGGCCTAGATCGGAAGTTATGTTCGTAATACAGTAGTCCATATGACCATATATAGATGGTGAAGGCTAAATAAGGCCCAATCTTGCAGAGGAGGTGGAGGCTACGGTGGTAGGAGGCACAAAGAAGACGTTGTGTCGGAGGTGGTGGGAGGCACAAAAAGACGCAGACTAGAAGATGAGAAGTCAGTTGACGGACAGTTGAACCAGTGAAGTTGCAAAAGGGTGATGCTAGAAGACTAGAAGGCTCGAAGCGTCGAACTAGATCAAAGAAGACGTTGGTATGGAAAAGTGACCGGGGATATAATAGGCATTACATTTCTATTTAATTAATTAATTTTAATCATGGGCTATGAGTTGCAATTATGTGGCTGCATTTAGAATTACCCATAAATTTTTAATGGAAGAATGATCAAATAAACTCTATTATTATGAAAATGTCAATTAAGCCCACTAACTCAAATATTACCCAATTAAGCATTTGAACTTTAAAACACGCTCGAATCGCTCTTTTTACCGGGTAAACAACCGGTAAAATGCTTTTGACGGCAGTGGCACTATTTTTTTCTTTTTTCTTAATTTTTTCTTCCTTTTTCATTCCTCTCTCTCCCCGTTCACTCTGTCTTCACCACTGATCTAAAAATTGATCTAGTCAGATCGACTAATCGGCCTAGTCAACCCTAACTTTAGAGGACTAATCGGAATAGTCGACCGAAAAATCGGTGTAGTCGATCAAAAAATTGGCCTAATCGAACGCTTAGGCGCTAGGCGCCAGGCACCGGCCCCTCAACTGTCCGATTAGCGCCTAGCGAGTTTTAGAACAATGGTCTTCACCCAACCTGTTTCTCCCTCCGGATCCATGTTATTCTTTTGCTTTCATTCTTGAGTGCAATTTAATTTGTTCATCCCATATAATCATCGCACAGACGTATTAAAGTGATATGTGTATACGAGGTTGTCTCCATTATTGAAGATGCCACATAGAGACAAACTCATATACAAATATATCACTTAATCCACACGAATCCTTAGGAGATGCCACATGGCAACAAGGGAGGGAAGGGAACGAACCCTTGGGAGACGCCACATGGAGACTAGGGCTGAGCACGAGTCGGGTTCGGGCGGGTCGGGTCTGCGTACCCTTAACCCGTTCGGGTTTTTTAAGCTAAATACTAGGCCCGACCCTTTGATATTTCAATTCGGGTTTTTCAGATATTTGTAAGTCGGATATTATCAGATATCGGATCGGGTTTCAGATATTTCGATTACATTAAAAAAAATTATAATTGGATAATTAAAGTGTTTGAATGCCACTTTGACAAAAATTCTACAAACTAGTGCACTAAACATTCAAATTACGCAAATAATTTAATACAAATTGCATAAATAATTACACAAATAATTGAACACAAGTATTAATTTAACATATTCAAAGTACACACTACATAATTTAATATATTTCGAATATTTCGGTTATATTAAAACACATTATAATTGGATAATTAAAGTGTTGGAATGTCACTTTGACAAAAATTGTACACACTAGTGCACTACACATTCAAATTACAAAAATAATTTAACACAAATTGCACAAATAATTACACAAATAACTGAACACAAGTATTAATTTAACATATTCAAAGTACACACTAAATTATTTAATATATTTCGGATATTCGGGCGGGTCGGGTCGGGATTTTACAAACCCTACCCGCCACTCGATCTAGGCCCAATACTAATCGGATTTTCGGTTTCGGGTTTTTCGGGTCAGATATCCATTTCTATTCGGATATTATCCGAAAAAAAATTCGGGTTTTGCGGGTCGGTTCGGGTTTTGCTCAGCCCTAATGGAGACAATCTATTTTACAAATATCACTAATCCACACAGATATCTTAATTCAGACTTAATAGAAAATAGTAAACAGTCTGTAATACTACATACATAATAAATAGAAAGTGTAAATTAAGGAGAATAAATTATCAAAATATATATCTTAGGGAATAAATTATCAAAATAAAAGGTTGCCATTTCTGAATATTCATTTTTTTATAATCTCTTGTGATGTGGACATTTTTTAGCGAAAGACTTATCCATCAAAATTCTCTGAGTAAAAGGTTGCCATTGCGAGTAAGAGATTATAGTGTGATCCGGCCTGGTACAATGCTATATGAGTATTTCTATCCACTTTTAGTATACATACTTTTGTCCATGATGTGTTATCCATAAACTTCTTTTAGATTTAGACAATACGAGTTCAGACCGATGAGACCTCACCTAAATAAACCACAACAAATCAATTAAAACAAGATGTAATTGAGAACCTGTGACTTAAGGCCGAGGAAACCCATGGGTATGAGAGCAATGTAATTAAATATAATTAACTCCATGAATTTCATTAGTAGTGATGGGATTATGCGAAGCCCCACTAGGAAAGTACGCAAATCCACCAGCCCAAGTAAACCAGGAATCCTCCCTCCCAATGAACTCATCTGAAGGAAAGAACTTTTTTGTTTTTTTAATTTGCGCGTTTCCAACTTTTCACAGACAAAAAAACATAGGAAACCATATAAATAACGTTGCCTTAATCTTTCAGAAAACCCCAGGCAGGCAAGATGGCAAAAACCAGAAGAGCGGTGAAAACATGTCTCAGCGTCCTGCCCATTCTCCTCTCCGCCCCCATCATAGCGGCCGGCATTTGGGCCAGCAATTCCTGCGCCAATTTCTATTTCCAGCAGATCATAATCTCAATGGGAGCTTTGATGTTCCTGGTGGGTCTGGTGGCCTGCTGCGCAATATCCACCGAGGATGAGGATGCGAGTGCCACTTATTTCGGCACCACCTTTCTCTTGTTCCTCATGGCCGTTGCGCTCTTCATCGCCGCCTTCGTCGTCACCGGTTACTCCGGCTCCCCGCACTCGGTGCCCGGCCGGAATTACGTCGAGTACCGCCTCGATCACTTCGCCTTCTGGCTTCGCCGGAGGGTTAGCGGCTACTTCCGGTGGAATCCCATTATTAGCTGCCTCACTGCTTCTAATTGGTGTGAGAAGTTAGATAAGACTCACTCCTCTTCTCAACAATTGTTCACAGCACACCTCACCCCCTTGCAGGTATTTTTCAGTTAGGGAAATTTTACCTTAATCTTGTTTACGTGGATTAATTAAAATATTGCAATTGAAAATTTTAAATATTAATAAATGAAGAAATATGATTTGAACCGATCGAATGTATTGAATTGTCATCACGACACACTCATTGTTGTAAAATACGGAGTATGTCTCGTTGACTCTGACCTATGCCTAAAAAAAGTGGGCTTGGCAATGATGCATTGACACGCCTTTCAGAACACTGCTACAACTTCCTTGTTTTATTATTACCTTTGTTCCAAAATGATTTTCAAATTTGATTTTTTGTGTGAAATAAATTCATTTTATTCACTTAATTAGGATGTCAATTTTAACTATATTCTAATTTTGAATTTGCAACTTTGAACAGATTTTAATGCAGTTTTTGAATATGTAAATTTTAATTATAAAAAACTGAAGTAGTTATCAACAGGGAAGATATAACCTTAACACTAGTTGACTAAAAAATGTTGACTTTGCAATCAATTTGGGAAAGAGGGAGTATTTTTGGTAGGGTTTTATTATTTGACCCAATTTAGAATATTTTGATAACTTTTCCCTAATTGTTTTCCACTCTCAAACTTCGTATTTTAATTATTTTAATTAACTAATGATCGATCTGAGTACCTCTTGTTGTTAGAACTTAGAAGATATTTGTTCATTGATGGATTTATTGTTCATGTGCCAAAATAAATTGCTCCATTGTTGTTATCTATTTATCATCAGCTACTTTTAATGAATTTAAATTAAATTGCTTGAATTGCAGTCAGGATGTTGTATGCCACCTGCAAAATGTGAGTACACTTATGTGAGCCCAACAAATTGGAAAGTCTCAAAAGACAATAAAACAGATACTGACTGTCTGAATTGGAGCAATGATCCAAGAAAGCTTTGCTACTCTTGTGATTCATGCAAAGCAGGATTTCTAGCAGATATCAGGAAGAAAATTAGAATAGCAAATCTCATAATGTTTATTACCTTTTTGGTAGCAATTGTTGTTTGTGTTGGATCTTGTGTTATATTTACCATGAATTGAAACAGATGTAATAGTTGAGGATCGACATCCTGATTGAAACACGGGTTGTTTTGATTACTATCACCACTGTAGAATATTGTAAAACATTATATTACAATTACAATTATTAATGGCCACCTATATTAACATCGTAAAATCCATTTATATTAAACTAATGGGCCAGGACTCTATTACTCTAATGACACGTTAACAAAGTTCATGTGCCTCAATTTTGGAGTATTTGAATATTTGATGATGACCTAATTAATAAGCTAAAGGCTAGAGTGATTTGATGGGGAGCATTTGAATATTTGACGATGAGCATTTATGGATACTAAATACTCCGCTTAACTTGGGCCTTTTGCACTTATTACTTGGTCCATATTAGTCGTATATCATTCATAACCAATGGGCCATACTCTAAATGTTGTTTAGAGATTTTTTTGGAAGAAAATAGCTGATATGTAGTACTTTGTATTACAATACCAGAACTCAGGCAAGTAACATCAAGACAAAAAGTTTCACACCCATAATTAGCCATTGAACCAGATTTAGAGTTAACCACCTTTGAAAAATCAATGCAATTTGTTGATCCCAAAATGAGCAATGAGTCAAAAGCGATCGGATTAAACTTCTCATCAACCACCCTAATCTGCAACGTAGTTTTGAAAAAAAACAAGCAAAATAATGTCTGACTCGAAAATAACAGCAACGGAAAAATAATATCTAGAATTAAATAAAGGGAAAATAGCCCCAAATAGGACCAAATTATTGTTGAAATTCCTAAATAGGAGTAGGTTTAATTTTCTTCCCTAAATAGGACCATTCTTCCAATTTTACCCTTCTAATACATTTCAACCATTTATTAACTCATAACCTCCGTGCACGCTATCTGGTTCGCATCTTTGCGCAGAGCAGTGCTTCAACGCCAAGGGGAGCAGCGAGAAGGGAGAGTCAATGATGAGTTGTGCCGATGAGCGGCAGCGAGCAGCGCCGGCGAGCAGCAGCAAGCAGCGGCGAGAGGTCTCTGTTCCTCACACTCCTCTGATTTCAATTTTTTTCATCTAGATCTGGTGCGGGCCATGGTGCCAAGCCCTGAGTCTTCTTCCCTCTTCTTTGCATTCATGTTGTCTCTTTGCTTCTTCTTTTGTTTTATACCAATTTGTTTGAGCTTTTATTGTAGTTTTTTCTTCTTCTTTCTCATGTTTGAGATCTGAAAGTGCTCTGTGATTGTCAATAACGGTGAAATCAAACTGACGTGGTGTAGTTAATGTTACAATTGCCATTTAGTTTTTGAAAATGCCATAAAAAAGGCATTCTTACTCTTTAAATATTTCATATTTTTTTTAAAAAAAATGCCATTAAGATGGCATTCTCGGTTCATGTTGGCATTCTCATAAATAGGTTGGCATCAACGTTGGCATCAGTTAGTTCCGCGGTCATGGCGGCCGGATCTGCGATGGAGGAGGCTGGATCTGCGGTGGAGGCTGTCGGATATGCACTGGCGGCGGTTGAATCTCCAAAGGCGGTAGTCGACGGCCGGTGGAGGCTAGATCTGGCCCGATCTAGGGAGGCGGCAGCTAGATCTATGGAGGCGACAGTTAATTTTAAGGCGGCGGCGGCGGCCGGCGGCCGGAGGCGGTCGGCGGTGGCCTGCGGTGGCCGGCGGTGGCCGGCCCGGCATCTGTTAGCAGCAATCTATTTTATCAAGCTTCAGGGGTATATCTGTGAACCTACAAATAATAACTCCTATTTGGAGAATTTTTAAACTTTAGTCCTATTTTAACAATTAAGGATTTAATTACTCCCATTTAGGTAAATCTCCCTTAAATAAACATCCCCGAGCAATGAGAAGCTTAACCTTGCAGCCAAAGAGAAAAAAGTCAGTCAGAGACCCCTCCATCTCGTTTTTTGGCTTGCCCAGAACCATTCCACCCTTTGACGTGCTTGTTTCCAGGCCTCTTGAGTCCTGACGAAACCTTTCCTGCTCCCGGCATCGGCACCATCCGTACCTGCCGACCCTCTTCCAAACTTCGACGACGTTGTGCTTCCATGAACCAAACCGCAATCCAAACACATAAACACTCCCTCCTATCTTTTGTGTTGTCCTCATAGGCAGAAACGTCCCCTTCATTATCCGACTATGATATTCTTTCAAAAGTCTCAACACAGCAATCTCGAGTCGAATACGACACAGATAACTCCTCACCCCTTCTACTGTTTGAATCAGACAATGCGAACAGATAACACTCCTCCCGGGTTCAAAGCTTAATGGAGTGAGATTGATCCCAATTTACCCAAGACCCTCCAAACATCCCTCCCCCGACACCCCCTGGGGTAAAAAAAGGGAGATTCTGTTCATAGTTTCTACATCACCGTCTCCTAATTAAATATTACTCATAATAAATAAAATTAGTTTAAATATCTAATTTTTCCTCATAATAATTTTCAAATAACATTATATGCAGCTTTCATTCATACTATTGTTGCTATGGAACCTATAACAGGTAGACATAATTAGTATATAAATGGTACCATACCTGTCTCATAACCTTCATCAATAGCAAATTCATCACGCGCGGGATAAGAATGACATGTTAGGCTTGAAAACAAAACAAGTGTTATAGTCAAGTTCTAGGGGAATTCAGAGTATCAGTGAAATTTTAATCTTATAGAGCGTTAATCGGTAACCATACGTTAAGACACCTTATTCGAATGCAAGGTATAGGACATGGAATACTTACCTTATGTAGAGTGCTGGAAAATGTGTTAAAAATTACATTAAATTGTCAATTTTGGGCAATATTTTGAGTGGGGTCCACTTCCGATTTGGGTCGGTTCAAAGTGGTTTCGGATTTTCCTTGTTAAGAGCTTCAATTCGATATGTGGTACACTCAAAACGGATAACGGGTGAATGAGAAATTGATTCTCGAAGTTTACTCGTTAAAATGGAGAAAACTAGGAAAATGATGGGTTTCTAAAGGGATATATCCCACACCGGAAAACCCAAGGGATTCTCACCCCCTTATAAAGAGAACCCTGTTAGAAGGAGTTAGGATTCCTAAGTGGAAAGACTCTCTTCGCGCGCAGGCGTGTGCGAATCAAATCTCGAAAATGGAGAAGAAAAACCGTGACTTGCGTGTGCGGGCGACCTGCAGACATGAATGTCGTCCGAAATTCTATCTTCTAAATATAAGATTTAATTTTTGCTTCTTCCCGTAACGTTCCTTTTTTTTTCTCCATGTTGGGAGGAGGCTGCTCCATGCTGAACGATCAGGAGGAGGCTGCTGCTTGCTGTTGAAAGGTTACAACATTAAATGTCCAACGATTTGCTACCTGAATGCAATTAAATGGACAGTTTTATGGATCACTCAATGCTCAACGTTCTAGACATTGATGTCCAACGTTCATGCCCATTAAAAACGTTATTAACGCACAACAAATCATCCCTATAAATGGCTAGCAGGTTGTTTGCATCAACACACATTCATACACATTCCTCACGTGCTTTTGAGCTCTAAAAACACCTCTAGCTTTTCTACAAATTTCCTTAGTGTTCATACCGTGTTTCCGTTTGCCGAAACAATACGTTTGAGTGTTCAACGATTGTTCGTAGTCATCGTATCTTTGGAAACGATCGTTGCAACGCTTCTAGCACCTAGGGAGGCAACTAATTCGTTTTAAGGACATCGTGCGTATAGCACGAGCTTTGACTAATTTCTGCTCCATCTCTTTTCAGTTTTCTTTAGCTATTTGATTAACTTTTAATTAATTAATTTTCTTCGATTTAATATATTTTCTATATCGGTCGTCTGTTTAACCAATGTTAAAACTGATTCTTTTAGAAAGTGTTTTGATAATAGTTATGAATATAACCGATATAAAAGACATACAATATCGATTATGACACTTGACACTAAAAGTACTCACTTTCAATAACGCCTAAAACTGTCTATTCTTGAACCGACATAAAAAACCTATTTTATGAGACATTAAGAGCCCTTTTCCACTAGTGATGGATTATAAGTTTTCTATCCGAATTTCCAATAAGAGTAATTAACTTCACTAAAAGAAAGCGATCGAAGTGCAAATATCGCGAGTAAGGTCGGAATCAATCGATACGAGAAACAGAGAGGAGCGGTTACGGGAAACCCTAGCTGCCTCATCCTCCTCTTCTCTTCTTTTCTTCTCTTCTTTTGATTCAATCATGAAAAAAGTTTCGATTAATCAGTAATTTCAGTTCTATCTATACGTTTATTTCCTAACGTTGTCTAGAGATGTTATTTTCAATGGCGCAGTGTCGCTCGCCAGATCTATATTCCCCGCCATTATCGGTCGGGTGTTCTTGTGTACTAGTAAGAGGTTCGTATTGGCTTTTTTAGCAATCATGAATCAGGATTTGTGTTGCATCGATATAGAGGCTGATCGCCCCCCTCCTGAACCACCGCCGATCCAGGAAGATGACATTGGATGGATTGCTTTCTTTCTGGTGGCTGGTCAAACCGGAACAATCTCTGCACTTGGCTCCTTACCGGTGGCTGGAAAAACCGGCAAGTTCAATAATTCTTTTTCGGTGGTTGGTCAAGCCGAACCCATTTCGAGTAGCATGAGTAGTCACATTGCGGTACGAGTCTACATTGTTGCAGGGTTAGCGAACATGAGTGCTTTTATATGGCGTCTTTGTTCTATGTCTCACCCTAGTGTAGTATTGAACGCTATGATTGTAATGCTTCGGCTTTTAGTTGTTATGTTTCTTGTTAAGATCTGATTATCAATAAAATGGTTATTTGATTTAAAAAAAGGTCGGAATCAATCGATAATGATTAATGAAACAAGATACTAACTAATATTCAAGCAAGAAATGTGAGAGGACGAGACCGTTTGGCAACACTGTTTTTCGGCTTATCAGTCAACTTTTTCACCAAACACGTAACTTTTGCTTTCGTGCGCTGAATTGTGTAATAAGCAGGAAAAGTAAGGTTGGAGTTGCTTTTCTGACTGTATTGGCTAGAGTTACTGTAAATGATCATTTTAGCTATTTTTACATATAATTTTTTCTTTAAAAATATATTTTAAAAATTATCTTTTCTTAAATCAGCAGAATCAGCCAATGCAGCTACTTCACCCAGAACTTCATAAATTTCAGCAGAAT